ACACAGCCAATAGTGAGGAGAGTTGGGTCTAGCCCACACAGTGAGGAATGTTGGGATTTGCAGTTCAGCAACATCTGGAGGGCCGCGCTTTGCCCAGGTCTGATATACAGCCTTGTCGTACTCCTTTCCCAATTTTGAACCAATCAGTTGTCCCATATCTAGTTCTAACTGTTGCTTCCTGTCCCACGTATAGGTTTCTCAGGAGATAGATAAGGTGGTGAGGCACTGCCATTTCTTTAAGGACTTTCCTTTCTTTGGGGAGGAGATGGGAATTAAGGTGGCAGAAAAGCAAGGACAGACAGATAGAATGGGTGCATGCACAAAGAGCGGAGGTGTAAATAAAAGGCACATGAAAGCAAGTGGATCTGTGGGTCTTTTCATGCAAGATCAGGCATATGTGAGGCAGTGTGAATGAGTAGGGAGACGTGTGTGTATGTGTGGGATTGCGGGTGTGAGTGGGTTCTTGCTTCATATGAGGGGGGTTCTCTTTCCTTGGTCCCAGACATTAACGGAAATGGATTCTGAGATAACAAATTTGTTTTGAACAACATAGGTCTAGTGTGAACAACAACCTTCATAAGTCCCAACGGGACCAACAAAATGGATCCCTTTACGCCAATTGTTTCTTGGTTCAGGCAGGGTGTTAAGAGGACCAGGTTGTGGTGGAGGACGAGAGCTGCCAGAAACGGTTTGTTTGCTCCGAGATTAAATTTATTTCTCACTGGTGGAGGAACTCCTGGAGAAGAATATAAGAACATAAGAAGAGACGTGTTGGATCAGGACAAGGGCCCATCTAGTCCAGCTTCTTACATCTCACAGTGGTCTCTGGGAGCACACGAGACAATTTTATTTATTTCTCAGTTGTGTTGAGAAGGAACTCTTGAAAAAGAATGCCCTGAAATGCACTTCGGAAGTAATTGAGATGACTTGGATATCATTCTTCAGGTGTAAATGCAACTATGAAGTAGTTCAATTATGGGTAACTGAGGGTGTAAGTAACTAAGGAACGAAGTTACCTAGGGACCATTATATCTTACATACTTTTACTTATAAACGTAATTTTCCATCTCCTTTATCCACCCCTAAAATTCTTCCAGAAATGGTCCCTAGAGTGAGGGGTGCACTAGTATTTGGTTTTCTTTTATGAGATAAGTTTATGCATTAATACTACATGTATTCTGTCCTGTCTTGCAATATTTTTTAAAGGAACTAAGTTACATATAACTAATTACTTCCAAGCTCGATTAAGAACCTTAGAGAAAGAACGGGGATATACTACACAATAAGTAACGAAAGAACGTAAGGGAGAGGAACAACAAGGCTCAGAAGTGAAGCGAATTGGAGGGCAAACAAACAGGAGGGGAACTTTCTGGGCAAGCAAGTAAATGGGCGTCGGTTCGAAAGCAGCGACGACCTCTTCTCAGTTCCCGACAGCAGAAGGGGTGTTTCCAAAGCTGTCTTCGGGAGTTGGTTTCGTTTCGCCTCAAGTCCGAGAATGACTTGGGCGAGGCTAGCCAAGCACTCCGGCTTCCCTTGCAATTCGATTCCAGACGCGCTTCGACGAGGCGGTGGAAGCGAGAGGTAGAAAAGCAGCCCTCTCACAGAACGGAGGACGGCGGTCGGTGCTTGACAAAGGCCAGAAGGAGGCGACCGGATCCCTTTCCCTGGAAATCAGGAAGGCGTCTCGGGGCGCGGCGTGGGAGAAGCGAAAGCGAAAGGGCCGCCGGCGATTCCCTTGCCTGGAGGGCTGAGGGGGTTCTGGGCCGGTCGGAGCGCCATGGCGGAGGGCTGGAGGGCGCGTCCCTTCCCGCTGCTGGTGGCAGGGGATTGGGGGAACGCCGATCCCCCCCGGCCTCTGAAGAACAAACTTCTGCGCTACTTCCAGAGTCGGAAGACGTCGGGGGGCGGCGAGTGCGAGATGCGGTGGCAAGGCGGGCTCTTCTGGGTCGACTTCGCGGAGAAAGAAGGTAGAGGGGACGCCCTGGCCCCTTCTCGAGGGGGACGGGGGGGTCCCAGAACTCCCCGTTGCGGGGAGGGGAGGTGCCTGCTTGTCGGAGGGATTTAAGGTCCCCAACTCTGAAGGGTTAGAAAAAGGAATGGGGAGGGAAGCCTGGAATTGGGGGTGGGGGGCAGGCGAGGCTTTGGAGCATTTGGGGAGGCCGGCCGGGACACGCCATTGCACACGCCAGGAAGGTGTAACCCGTTCCTGTTGAAAAGTCGCTGCACGAAGTAGCCCGGGAACATTTGCATCGGATCTGCGAGCAAGAGCTGCTGAGGACTGGAAGGCGAACAACATCTGGCGAGCCCCCCTCCCTTTTCACCCCAGCCGCGCGCTATAAGTGTCAGGTGGAATGACCATCCTGTACACACGAGCTGGGCATAAGCTGAACCGAATTAATTGAAGTCATTAGTGGTGTCCCTACTCAGTCAGTCCAGGTTTAATCATGCCCTCCCCCCCCCGCCCGAAATGCCCTTCACTTTTGCTTTGCTATAACCTAAGTAATGTTTCCTCACAGTCTCCTCGCCCAGAATGGCTCCATTGGAGAGGATTGAAAGCAGTTCTGAAGATTTTAATAGGCCTTCCAAGACTGTTATAACATATAGACAGTGGGAGCAGAAACACATCAGAAATTACTTCTATTGTAGTTAGAAATTGCTGTTGATCAGGCCCATTGCTTTTCACTTCTGAATGTTGCAGGCTACATTGTGAGGAGAGAGAAAGTGTTCTACCATTTCCTCCTTCTAGGGTCACTCAGGGACTCTGCAGCTTGCCCAAGGCCACACAGGCTGGCTCTGCTCCCAGGAGGCACAATGGGGGAATTGAACTCCCAAACTCTGGCTCCACAGGCAGATACCTAAACCATGGAGCTATCCAGCCAGCTCTCATGGGGAATACTTACTTTCAGAGACAGAAGGTTAATAGAAATAATCCACAGAGCCGCCTACAGTGCACATAAAATTGAGGCTCCAGCTTCGAAAGTAAAAGAAGACTGTTTAAAAAACTTTAAAAAACCCCAATCACATGAGTACATTCTCTCACAACAGAAACTTAGAATTTATAATCCCTATTCCATAATGGGATCTATGAACTACAACACAGTTCAAATTAAACCTATCATGTAGGATTTTTTTTAAAAAAAGATGCATTTAAAGAAAAATGTAAAAAAACCCTGATTTAACATTTTAAAAAATCCATTTTAAATTAAAAAGTCATGTTAAAAAATTGATTGCTTTTTGTCCAGTTGGTGCACAAGTCATTTTCAGACTATTTTCCTGATGCAGAGGAAAGGGAAACGGGTTGGATTTCTGAACCTTAGGACTTCTGCTGCATTTGTGAGAACCTGTTTCCGTTTCAGCGAGGCAAAGAGTTCTTTCCAAAGAGAGGCATCAGCTTGACCTGGGAGAAGACGGGGTGCTGGCGCTGGTGGTCTCCCTTCCCGAGGAAACCACAGGTGGAACCACAGAAAAGGCTCCTCAGCAGGTATGGTGAAGCTTTCTTTAAAAAGACCTGCAGCTTTGAAACAGGTGCCCACTGGCCTTGCAAGCAGTGAAGAGGCTGCTGTCATTTCCTTTTGATTTGTGCTTAGGTTTCCAGAGGAGAAGAGCAGACGAAAGAGATGGCGGAAAAGAAGCCCCCCAGGACAGAGGGTATGGCATCTCTCTTGTTGGGCTTTGAAACATGGTGTGTGTGTGATTGTACGCACCAGGCCTTTTGGGGAAAGGGCACCTTTTGAAACTGGGAGAGATTGTGGGTCACAGCCCTGACTTCCGTTTCCCATCACAGTCCCTTGGCCTCGTAGACCTTTTGGACTGCAGTGCCCGCAGTTCTGAACATTGGTAATGTTATATGGGGCTGATGGGAGTTGTAGGCCAAAATGTCTGGAGAACCCAACCCTTCCTACTCGTCGGTTACGCTAATGCTCCCTTAAGGGCCGTCCTGGAGGAAAGCAGGCCCGTAACTTCATGGGCCCTTATCAGGCCTTCATTCACCCTGTGCAGCTCCACCTGTGTGGCCAAGGGAGGATGACCCTGTGCCCACTTCTCCGTCTTCTCATCTCCAGACATGCTCCTTCCAGGTTGGAGGAAACATCTGTAATAGAAGAGCCCCCTTTAGCCCTGTAGGCTCATCCCACCTTGGGGAGGGCTTCCGTTCCAGGGAAGAGGCAACAGGCTTCCAGCAGCTTCCTCTGTATAGACCGTTACTCCATATGGGGACAGCAAGGTGGTGGTGGTGGGCCCTGAGCATCACAATCCTTCTCCTTTTTGGGGGGAGGGGGTCTGCGTTTCCCAGAATCCTCTAGCCAGCCAGCATGGCATTGCTCCACCCACCCACCCCACAGCCCCTGTGACAGTTCAGCAAAAAAGCCAATCAGGTTTGGAAAAATTCTTTTAATCACTTGAGATATTTGATGACTATGATGGTTTAATTTATTTTTAATGTGTTCCTTATTGTGTTTTAATTTTATTTGTTTTAACTTTGTGAGCCACCTTGGATCCTCTTGTGGGGGAAAAAGGCGGCTTATAAATGAGACCGAATAAGTAAAAGGTACACTAATGACTGCTTCAACACTTGAATCACCTTCTGCTTCTACTTTTTTTCTATTAGATGTGCAAACAGTTCTGCAAAAAGAGGATATAACTGAAGTGAGAGAATCAGCTGAGGAACGTCCATCTCACAGTGAAAATGCTTGCGCCGAATCCCAAACATATTTTCATGTTGCTCTTGAAAATATTGATGAATCTATCAGATTTGAAGTATTAAGTCTACTGATAGAAAATATCAGTGGGCTTTCAGTAGAAAAGGACTTCCAAACTGAACTGATAAAGGAAAGAAATGCTGCAGTGATAACGTTCTCACAGAGTAGGGGTAAGGGCGATAAACTTTGTGTCGTTCAAATATTTTCACATTGTGAGTTGTTGATGTGTCATGCCTTTAGACGGTACCCATTAGAATACTTTTACATTCGCTTATACAGAAAGATTCCAAGATGTGCTTATTCTGTTCCTACTGATTTCAGATTGCTCATTAGTCTCCCCCAGTTTAGTTTTGGTTTAAAAGGATGTGCTTGTCACTAAAAGTGTATGGGATGTTCTTTGCACCGGCACGTCTCTTTACTTTTCATGCAAACATCTCTAAATTCTGACTGAAATAGTACATTGTCAAGTACCTAAATGGAAAGACATTGAGAAAAATGCATTAATCACTTGGAGTCCAACTGGCATAAGTAACTAAATAAGTAACTAAATGGAAAGACATTGGGAAAGATGCATTAATCACTTGGAGTCCAACTGGCAACGTAGTTAGCAGGATTTGTTTTTCCCATTCAGGATGGCAGTAGATGAGAAACGGTGCATTTGGTCAAAGGCCCATTTGATTCTGTGTCTTCCTTCAGGAGTTATTTACCCATTAGCGGTAGACTGTGCCTCCTGGTACTCCTGTCTCCACTTCTGTTTTATTCGTTCATTTCAAAATCATGTATGTTCCCTGCTTTTTTCAAACTCCGGGAGGTCTGTCTAACAGTGAAACAATGTAAACATGAATAGTAATAGCGTTAAAACACAGTTAACTAAATGATGTTCAAGTATACATTTGAAAAGTGGTTTAGAAACACATCAATAGGAAAGTAATGCAGATCCCTAATAAAAGGGAATGCGGTTGATAGAACAGAAAGGCCCTTGCAACTGGGAGGAGACTAACTTGATTTCCCCTGGATTAATGTCCTTGGAGCAGCGACCATGAAATCCACATTTCATATCTCTGTCAGCCATGCCTCTGAGGATACAGAAGTTTATGGCCGTGGGACATGGGTGTTCCATTAAGTGATCCAGACTCGTAGCCATTGATAGATGTGTCCTCTGTGCAAGGAAAGTTGGTGAGGGAATAAGGCACTAGTACACAATTTTTGTTTCCTCTTTGCAGATGCTGCAAAATTTCTTCAGCTGTGTGCAAAGAATGCCAGGATTAAAGAATATAAAATTACCGCTAGGTCTCTTGAACTGACACAGATGATCAAAGTTGAAAACATTGCTCCTGAGGCAGGCAAAGATTTCATAACCCTTTATTTTGAAAGTCAGAAGCATGGAGGAGGACCAGTATCCAGTGTTGAGATGCTACCTGATGAGGATTCGGCTGTTGTTACTTTTTGTAACCATCGAGGTAACATGATCTGCTTTTATTGCTAACTAGAGACGGGATTTTTGTATTCATCTCCCGGCAATCTGTGGTGGCGATATTCATATTGTACAAATATCCCATCTCTATTGCTAACGTTAGAAATCAGCAGTGACTGTTTACAAATTGGGTGGTTTGAAAGCAGATCTGCCATGTAAAAACACCATGTTTGGCACCTCTTCTTCAGATAAGGTATAAGTTGATCCAGATGGTAGGACTGACGTGGGAGTCATGTCAGGCCATCCCATCCTCCATCCCAAAGTGAGGATTTTGCCAGGCGTGGGTTGTGACATTCCCAGTGCTTTGGAACGACTCCATATGATGCCTAGTCACTCTGCCCTTCTTGGTCTTCAGCAAAGAGTTCTTGGGGGGGCGGGATTTCCAGTTGCTGTTTGCATTTTTGACAAATGATAAGTCAGGACAGATGTCCCTGGAGTTCTTTTTCAGACTGAAGTCCCATCTCAGTCTGGATTGGCCTTGTTTCCTGAACATGCTAATTTAGAACCCGTTCCCTTAGCACAGCACATTAGGCAAAATCCAAAGAAACAAAACAACCAAAAGACAAAAACATGTTACACTCCTAGAACAGAAGCATCTCCCCTCCGATGGTTGTTGGGGATTTTTCGGGTCCTGCCCATTCCCTGCTATGAAAGCCTTCAAGAACACATTTTACCTCCTTTTCTCTTGGTCTGCCAACACTTCTTATAACCTTCCGAGGAGCAGTGCTGCCTACTAGATTGGCTACATCTTGTTCCCCACTTCCTCTGAATTCTTCCATTAAATGCCCTAAGTCTTACAACCAAAAAACTCAGGCACTATAGGTAGAATTAATATTAAAGTAAGACATTATTTTGTGCATTCATTTCATTTTCTCATTTTGTTGTAGCCCAGCAGTGGGCAATGTGAGGCCTGGGTCACCAGTGTGTTCCTCTACATTCAGACCGACTGTTCGCATCTAAAATTTGGCCCTGTGTAAAGTTTGGCCTCCTTTCCCCTGCCAGCAGTGTGGGTTGTGCTACTGCCAAGCAAGGCTTATCTGTTTCCTGTGGTTTTGAATCGTAGACACAGTAACAATCTCTTGTAAATGGGAGATTTTTGGAAGGATTGCATTTGGAAAGAGTGTATGTGGGTCCCTATGCACTTATTTTGGAGGGAAAATGTAGGAAAGCTCCCTGCTATACACTTAAGGTGCAGTTTGACCATCGCTGCATGTTACACTACCTCTAGGCCCCAGTGCTGTGTGCTGTCTGCAATGAGATGCTATTCTGATATCCCTTCTTTTATCTGCAGGGCCTTCAACTAACCACCCCCTTTATTTAAAGAGCACCCCCTCTTGAGTTGTTGCAACTCCAGAGGCATTATCCTGCTGGGTTCTTGGGGTCTTTCAATATACCTTCCCTCTTTTTCCTCTGTATTTAAAGGTGAACTGTATAACGGTTGTGCATTTATTTTATTTCATTTAAACAAACTGTTAATATTGACTGCATTTTTTCACCTTTCCATTTTTTTTGGTTCAGTTGTGCAAAGAGTACTGGAAATGCAGCATTCATTTTATGATCAACCAGTTTCAGTTTATCCATACTTCAGTTCTTTGGATACTGCTTTGTATGGGAAGGAGAGGCCACAGATACGGATTCCGGAACCCATAAGAATTCCTCTAGATCCTTACATCTGGCAGTTTCTCCAAGGAAGGCACAAACTAGTCCAAGAAATAGAGAAAGAAATGGAGAACTGCTTCGGTGACCTCACATGGCCCCCAGTGACTTGTGAAGATCCAGAAGTTTTGATCTGCCCTTCAGCCGCTTTGCTGAAGCAAGGGAGGTCCATGAGAAAATGGGTTAAGACTTGGACAGAAAACGTTTGTACAGAGTTTGCATGCATCATGTCAAAGTTCAAGAGTGCTAAATGCAAAATCATCCCAGAGGCATGGAAGACTATAGAAAGCAAGTTGGTAAAAGATGTTTTGGCCATACCTGATGCTTCCAAGGAAATGGTTATCCTAGCTGGTTTTGTCTTCACTGTGGATAGCACTGAGAATCAGGTGAAGGCTCACATTGAAAATTTGACGAGAGATGCAGAAAAAGCAAGACAAATGGTTCAAGAGACCTTGTCGGTTGCCCCAGGGAAGTATGCCATTTTGCATCGTATTTTGCAAGAAGAGAATGTCTACAAGGAGAACTCAGGCCTTACTTTTTCTTATGATCCTGCAGCACGGCTGATGCAACTTAATGGAATGCCTGCAGAGGTCTACAAGATAAAAAGTGAGCTGCTGGAAAAATTGCACAACATGGAGGAGAAGAAAATCATCACTCCTCCTGTGGTTCTTCAGTTCCTTCAGCATGCAGACAGGATGAAGGTGTCTGCAGCCATCTTTCATGCAAACAACATTCGTGCATTTTATGACCTTACAACTGATTCTGTGGCCTTGATAGGATATTCTCATGACGATCTCTTGAAAGCAGAGAAACAAATGAAAAAAGACTTGGCTTATAAACGTATTCCTTTGGAGGACCAGCAACTCACCACCAAAAGGGAATGGAAAGATCTCTGTCAACGACTGCTGAAGAAATACAATTCTGTTGATGAAATTGTAATCATTGATGACAGCCTTGTTTTGGAAGAAAAAGCTGAAGTAACCATAGCTGGTTATACAACACAAGTAGGTCATGTCTATCAGGAACTTTCTGACTTTGTTGAAAAAAATACTCAAATTGTGAAAGTAATTCCTCTCAAGTCTGTGGTGGTTGTGCAGTTTATGGAGAAGGAAAAGGGTAACATTTGGCATGATTTGAAGAGGAAAGGTGTGAAAATCAAATTTGAGGAAGAGGCAAAAGAGAGGAATATTGTTCTTAGTGGACCTAAAGTAGAAGTGATGAAGGCAGCAACTGTAGTCGAAGAAATGCTCTCTTCAGTACATTCTACCAAAGTCGTGTTTGATAAACCAGGAGTGAAAGACTTTTTCAAACAGCGAGAACATTCCTATGTTAACGAAGTAAAGACCTCCTTCGGTTGTTTGATTCTACTACAGAAAAATGGAGCGTCTGAGGAAAAGGTAGGGTCCCCTCATGCAAAAATAACTTTGAATACTGGCGTTGTGGTGGAGGCTCGTAAGGGAGACCTGACACGTTTTCCAGCTGATGTTGTGGTCAATGCATCAAATGAAGAGCTGAAGCACATTGGTGGTCTTGCAGAGGCTTTGTCAAGAGCGGCTGGGCCAGAGTTACAGGCTGAGTGTAATAGACTGATTAAGAAACATGGAAGTTTAAAACCTGGCTGTGCGGTTATCACAGATGCTTGGAAACTTCCATGTAAACAGATTGTTCATGCAGTTGGGCCAAGATGGGACAGTTCTGAAAAAGAAAAATGTGCCTACCTCTTGAAGAAAGTTGTGAAGGAAAGTTTAAAGTGGGCAGAAACCTACAACCATAATTCAATAGCCATACCTGCAGTAAGTTCTGGGATTTTTGGATTCCCGGTCAAAGAATGTGCCCATTGCATTGTCACAGCAGTCAAGGAAACATTAGAAGAATATTCAGAAACTGGGTGTCTGAAACAGGTGTACCTTGTGGATGTGTCAGAAGATACCGTTCAGGTCTTTTCTGATGCTTTAAATGAAGTCTTCAGAGGAGGATTGCCCCGGCCCGAATCACCAGCTCAGTCCCACCCAGTTACTCAGCCAAAAGAAACTGGAGAAGATTTTAATGTGGCGACGACTTCTGAAGGCCTGAAACTCATTCTTGAGAAAAAAAGCATTCAAGATGCAATGGTAAGCATATCAAGGGGGGGGGGGCTACCCAAATCACTTTCAAGATGTATTTAAAATGTGACTGGTTTTTTTTTTTTGAAATATCCATTCCATATTATTTTGAATTTTAAAAATCTTAGTAAAATGTTAGTATTTGGCATGAAAAGATAATTAAATTTTTAAAAATCTCCCAACAGTTTTAAGATTTGGACATTCCAAGGACAGTTGTCTTTGAAATAATATGCTGCATCTGAGAAGTGCTTCATAGTGCTTTTTTAAAAAAAGGATAGTCCTGCTCATAAACTACAAAATAATTATTTGTGTGCACCCCATACTCCATTCCTTAAGTAAAGTTCTGGCCTTGTTTTGGTTAGAGAGAGAGCTGCAAAAACACAACAAGAGAGGGCGCTCTTTAAAGAAAAGAGGATGTCTAGCTGAAGGCCTTGCAAAAAAGGGAAATCACAATAACATCTCATTGCAAAGGCAATATACAGAATTAGAGATGGGCACGAACTGTGGTTCAGCAAATCAGGTCCACAGATGTTGCATGTGCGCCCTGGATTCCCTGCCCCGTCTCCTCCCAGGAGCGCCCATTCAGAGGACCCCGCCCCCGGCCGCTCTACCCTGCCTCCTCCTTTGAGTTGGTGCCTCTGCAACACTTGTGAGCCTGATCCACCATCTCGTGCTGAAGTGCCGAAGTGCAGTAAGTGCCCATCTCTAGTTTGGGTGTTTACTTCCAGCCAAAACTTGATCTGACTTACTTTTGCCCTGCAGTTCCTAGTACCTCAATCAGAGGTGTAGGATGCTGTCACCTCCCTGTGGCCCAGGGGTGTCCTGTGTGCTTTCCCTTTGACTCATCTAATATACAGAGTTTGAGAGAAATTAGAGCAGAATGGGTGAAAGTGGTCCCGGTTGTACCTCTCTGGCCCTGGACATCCTTTTTGGACATTGTCAGTCTCAACGGAGAGATACCCCTTCAGGTTACCATTTTTTTGTCCTATTACAGTTGTATAGCCTGACCTTGGTTGGCTCAAGGTATGGACCCCAAGCAGAACACATTCCTGCTTTGAATGCATCCAACAGAAGCAGACAACACTTGAGCAGCATCAACAGCCTGCTATGTAGTATATTTACAGCTGTCTAAAATGGAAGGTGTTATCCAGGTCCAGAAGTCCTTTGTCCTGATGCAAGCAGGCATAGAGAGAGATCCTAAGCCCAACACTTTAAGGACACAGGCTTTATCCTTAGCAGCAGTAATGTCCAAACCTGGCCCAGCTATATTTCACACATCTGTCTGTGTGAAGGGATAGGGATGGCTGACTTCATACCTGTTTTCCAGTTTCATAAAGTGTGCTTGGCTACAAACAGAACTGGGGGAGGTGGTAGAGCAGGAGGGTCATTCCATTCGTATAAGGTAGGGGCAAGGAAACATGGCCTTGCGGGACTTTTTGGACTTCAATTCCCAGATGCCCTAGGAGCAATATTGGGCTATTCCTTTGCTATGTAAAGCTTAGCGTCCTTTTTCCTGCTGGCAGTGCGGGTACAATATTTTGCAGCGGTACTGGGCCATTTGCTGGCTTTGCATGGGACAGAAGCGCAATAGCCCACATTTGTAAACCAGAATTTTTTAAAGCGTTAAGTTATCTTAACATCTCAATTTATTGCACAGATCATACTCCCAAATCCTAAGGATTATGCTGACTCATTAACAAAGTGTATTTGCTTAAAAAGTGAGAAACAGAAAGTGTCCTAGCTCTTCCAGATGATGGAACTGGAGGTGGACGGTGGTTAGTTCTCCCCCTCCTTGTGTCTTAAATAAATGCTCTACTTTGTTGGTTTTCAACATTGAGCTCCCATGTGTTCTTGGATTAGAACTTCCAGAAATCTTGGCCAGCACAGCCTAATGGTGGAGGCTTCTGGGAGTTTAAGTTCAAGAACATCTGGGGGCCCAAGGCTGGTGTCCTCTGCTCTATATGTACAACTGAATAAGCTCAAACATTGAGACTGCCTGTGTTTCCTTCCATTTTTGGTTGTTCTGAGGCATTCAGTGGTTGCTCTTTTTCCAGACGGATGTGGTCGTAAGCAGCGTTGGCAGAGACCTAAAGCTTGGCGTAGGTCCCCTTTCCAAAGCTCTTCTGCAGAAGGCTGGACCAGCCCTACAAGCCGAGTTTGATCAAGCAGTCCAAGGTAGAGGGCCTCAGGTTGGATTGGTGATCCAGACAAGAGGACACAACTTGGCCAGCAGAATTGTGCTTCATGCTACTGTTCCACAATGGGATGGAGGAAAAGGACAAGCAGCAAAGGTCCTTCCTTGTTTCTTTTCCTTGACTGTGTTTTTTTGCTGGAATTGTGAGGAAAGGATTGTTTTAATATAGATGTTCATGATAAGAGAGGCAATATTTAATCCCATTCAAGGCAGTTACTTTGACTATCTTTGTCATGGCAGCTTTCTGTGTGTTTTCACTCATGCACTAGTTTCACTCTCAGTCTTGTGTGGGCTACTCCTCTCCTCCTGAATCCATGTAGGCCACCAAAACGTGTTTTATTACAAAACAAGAACCTGTATTGCAAACACTTGCAGAGTTAACATCATAGTAGGTTTCGTGTGTTCACATAAGCTCAGGAAGCAATGTGCTAGATTACGTTGCTTCCCCAGCATATATTGCAAGAATCCCAGCAACCTGCACATTCCTGATCTTCCACAAGAATTTGGCCAGGGGTTTTGCCAGTAGATCACTGGTTTCCTTCTGTCTTATCCTCCTGTATTGTTCAACTGAAAGTGCAGGTGCTCTTCAAGGAAAAGATAGGTCCATTTTTAACCTTTTTAAAAAATACCTCTAGGATTTTGTGCCGTCCGTGAAAAGGCATGTCCCATTAACCTGCATGGATGGCCCTGCTAGCCATGTAGATCAGTATGGGTGTGGGAGCTCTCTGTTCCTGACTATTGTAGGGGAAAGTCAGCACATTAGGGATCAAGGTCTACTTGAAACCTCCAACAGCTGCTAGTTTTCTGTGTGCAAGGATGCACCGTATGTTTTATAAGGGCACTGAAATGTGTAGCTCTTCATCTAGATTTTGAGGAGCTAAAACTAATGTTCTAGGTTTAATGATGGAACACCTGGCTTATAGAAATCTTCTTTTTATATACAGGAACTTAAATGTATTGTGAAGAAATGCCTGGAGAAAACAGAAGAGTTATCGTTCAGTTCTGTCTCATTCCCAGCAATTGGGACAGGTGGATTTTCCTTTCCAAGATCTGAAGTCGCAAAACTAATGTTTGAAGAGGTGCTTCAGTTCAGTAGCAGAAAGAATTTCAAGTATCTCCAGGAAGTTCATTTTCTCTTACATCCAAAAGATAAAGATAACATACAGGTAATGATACTATTTTCTTGCGGTAAACTGTCTCATATAAGGTTTTAAATAGGGTGTAGTTTTGGGGCTCCGAAGTATGTCCAACAGAACAGATAAATGGGACCTGCAGAAAGATGTTGGAGTAGAAGGTGTTGAATTTTCCTGATTTCAGTGGTTTAGATTTCTGGCTGTAGAGCCAAAGGTTGGGAGTTCGATTCCAGACCGTGCCTCCTTGACAGGGTCTGGATTCCATGATCCATAGGGTCCCTTCCAGCTCTGCAGTTCTGAGATAAGTTTTTGGGTGGATCAGCAGTACTTTCCTACAATACTCCCAATAACAGTTCATAGGCATGCTGTGGCTCTTACTGTCTCTTCCACCCAGACTGACTCCTCTACTGAAAGGTTACAAGAATGATCATGGTCTCCTGTGCCAGAGTCTGTTGCTATTACGAAAAGGAGTTTTTGTAGAACTGATTCCAGAGTGTCCGTATGGTTTTTAGGGTTCTTGCAGTTGCCTTGTGCTCCAGCTGAGCAGATCTCTCAAATTTTGAGCATAACTTTGTTTTCTTTCTCAGGCTTTCTCACAAGAGTTTGAATCCAGGACTGGCGGAAATGCAGGCAAGTTGCTTGGCTCGGTTGGCAGCTCAGAGTGCAGCTACACAGTGAGGGAAATGTGGACCCATTAGCATTCCTTTGCTGTTAAATCCTACTGTGGAATTCAGATTTCTCCTGGTCTCGCCACATTAACTGGCCGCACAGGGAGAGAGCGGCAGCCTTGTTTGGACCTTGTTTGCAACTCCAACTTGTAGCCTAGTAGTTGGTGTGGTTAAAAGGGAATTGCTGAACAAGCTGTAATCAAGACCGCCACAAGTCAGAAGTAACAAGATGACACATAAGAACAATGAAAAAAAAATGGTGCCATCTCTTGATCGGAGCCTTCAGTACTGTAGTTTTGGGGAGGGTGTGGGCAGGGAAGCAAAGACTCTGGAAGTTGTATTCCAGAAAAATACTTTTTCCAAAATGATGTGCATAGAAATGGGTGACATACCAGATGATTGGAGGAGCGCTAATGTTGTCTCTTTCTTTCAGAAGGGCAAAAAAAATTATGTCAGCCTGATATCAATCCCAGGGAAAATTCTAGATTAAATATCAGTCACTATGCAAACACCTAGAAACCAATGCAGTAGTAACAAGAAGCCATCATAGATTTGTCAAGAACAAATCCTGCCAGACTAACCTGATCTCATTTTTTGATTTTGTAACCTACCTGATAGACAGAGGGAATACTAAAGACATAGTATATCTTGACTTCAGCAAAGCTTTTGACAAAGTGTCCCATGATATTCTTATTAGCAAACTAACTTGAAGTGGGCTGGATAGAACAACTGTCAGGTGGATACACAGTTGGCCACAGAATCGTACTCAGAGGGTGCTGATTAATGTTTTCTTCTCAAAGTGGGAGGAGGTAACAAGTGGGGTACCACTCTTCAACATTTTTATTAATGACCTGGATGAGGGGGTGCAGGTAATGCTAATCAGATTTGCAATGGAACAAAATTGGGTGGAATAGCTAATACCCTGGAAGAAAGAAAGAAATTTCAAAATGTTTTGGATAGGCTTGAGCACTGGGCTGAAAACAACAGAATGAAATTCAGCAGGGATAAATGTAAAGTAGTGCACCCGAGAAAAAGAAACCAATTGCACAGTGACAAAGTCGGGAGATACTTGGCTCAGCAATTCTATAGGCAAGAAGGATATTAGAATCACCGTAGATCACGAGCTGATAATGAACCAACAGTGTGATGTGACTATAAAAAGGCAAATGCTATTCTAGTATAGTCTCCAAATCCTGCAAGGTACTAGTTCCCCTCTATTTGGCACTAGTTAGGCCTCATCTTGAGTTCTGTGTCCAGTTCTAGACACCACACTTCAAAAAGGATGCTGACAAATTGGAACAGAGGAGGGCAACAGGGATGATCAGGGGCTGGAAACGAAGCTCTACGAGGAAAGATTGAAAGAACTGGGAATGTATAGTCTTGTGGGGTGGGGGAAGACTGAAGGGAGATATGATAGCACTTTTCAAATACTTGAAAGGCTGTCATACAGAGGAGGGGCAGGATCTGTTCTCAATCATCCCTGAGTGCAGGACACGCAACAATGGGCTGAAGTTGCAGGAAGACAAAATTTTGGTTGAATATCTGGAAAAACCTCTTAACTGTTAGAGCAGTACAGCAGTAGAAATAATTACTGCTAGAGATGGTGAGTGCACCAACACTGGAGGCATTCAAGAGAAATTTAGACAACCACCTGGCAGATATCCTTTGATTTGTACTCCTGCACTGAGCAAGGGGTTGGACTTGATGGCCTTCAAGGCCCCTTCTAACTTCATGATTCTGTGATTCTAAAAGTTGTCTTGGATCTTGTCTCCAAACTGGGACCTTCCAGACATATCTGACAGAGCTGTTCTAACTCTCTCCCCAGCAATTTGTCAAAGAAGAAAGCTAAAAATAATAAACTTCAAAACTCCAAGATTGGGAGATCTTGAAATACTGGCTTAACAGCATGTTATGTATGTATGTTTTTTATATAAGAGGTGATGGTGTTTAGTCAAGTATCTTTGCTGAATCCTTCTCCTTTTTTTTATCTCTTCCAGGTTTTTTTGGACCTGTTTCCACCCCTGTTTTGGGAGTTCATGAAATGCAGATTGGACCAATTAAGTTCCAGTCAATGACAGGAGATATTACCAAGGAGAATACAGATGTTATTGTAAATGTAACAAATGCAGACTTTAATGGCAAATTAGGTACTTAACTTCACTGAATCTATCTGTTAACTTGACTCTTCATCAGTGATACTGTATTAGTTATTGCTCATAGGATGAGCATTTGAGAATGCCAGCATTTGTGAAACTTTGTTCTTGTTCATTCTTCTTGTTATGAAATTGGATGTTAATGTGTATTTTCCTGTGTTCAGGGGCAGCTCAAATTTTGCTGCAGAATGTTGAATTGGATTGCCATCCCACTGACTGGATGCATTGCATTAACAAATCTGCTTTTTATATGTTCACATGTAATGAGGGAGTTGGGTTTTTTAAATCTTAATCAATACGTTTTTTTTCCTCAACTTGAATCCTTCAAAGGTGTTTCCAAAGCAATTTTGGAAGGTGGTGGACCTCAAGTGGAAGCAGAGTGTGCAGCACTTGCCATAATGGATCTCATTGCATTTCATCAGGGTAGGAATTACGCCGCTGGTGGGCTACCTATGTATGGCCCCAGAAGGAAACCAGAATGAAATTCCCTAAAATAAGATGGAGGTCTGGCACCTTGTTTTATGTGGGGGGAAAGCCATTATGTGTTTTTTAGTGAGAAGTGACTTTCCAGTGACTTACTGGGCATTTAGATTTGCATTGTCAAAGATGGAACGTGAGGTTTTGTCTAGATAGGTGGGGTAGAAGTCCAATAAAATAAATAAATAAAAATTAAAATTCTTTTCCAGCCTTACAGCCTCACAAAGGGTTTATAACAACGCAAGGGGGCAATCTGCCCTGTAAGAAAATTATCCATCTTGCTCCTGATTCAGATACTAGAGCCCAGGTCTCCAAAGTGCTAAAGGAATGTGAAGCGAAGAAATACACGTCTGTTGCCTTCCCTGCCATTGGAACAGGTTTGCCTTTTCTCCAGAAATTCCCTGGTGATTGGTCCGGAAGAAGCTGCTTATGAGGGTGTAAACCAGGGATGTGGAAGGATGAATTGACCTGTTTGAGTTCCACCAAGTTGATTTTGACTTACGGTGACTCCTTTTGGGGAGGGGAGGGTTGGGTAAGAGAATATTCAGAAGTGATTTACCATTCCCTTGTCCTTGTGGCGTCCTGGGACTATGCAACTTGCCCATGGCTACACAGGCTGGCTCTTTTCCTAGGAAACACAGGAGGCATAGCAGTTAATTGAATGCTCAACCTCTTGCTCTGCAGCCAGAATCCTAAACCACTGAGCTATCCAAGAACTAATGTAATAATAATATTAATTTAAAAAAATTAACATTTCAAGATTCTGACATTAATCACGAGGTTTTTTTTCTTTTGAGTGTCTAAAAATTCACTTTTGCTGGCTGGATAGCTCAGTGTGTGTGTGTGTGTGTGTGTGTGTGTGTGTGTGTGTGTGTGTGCATGTGCATCAGGGGGGGTTGGGCAGGCTGTACAGTTCTAGGGTGTTCCTAGAAGAAGAGAATAGTAAATTACTTCTGATTATTTTTTACCTAGAAAACCACAAAAAGGACTGTCATAAGTCATAATTGACTTGATGGCACACAGTTGTTATTATTAATATATAACTTTGTCTGTTTCTTTAACCTAATGTTCTTAATTTTCTTAGAATTATTTGGTGCTGTTTTTTCTAGGGTTTTACAGTTGTTCTTCCATACTTTTTAAAGTAAGAGCACAGAAGCCTACATTAGTTCTACACCAACTGTATGTGTTCCTTAAGATCCTCACCACCGCCATCTTAGAACTATAGGCTGTAACCCTGTGCCTTCAAGATATTGTTGGACCGCAGCTCCCATGAAGCTCAGCCAACTTGGCCAGTGTTCAAGGACAATAGGAGTTAGAATTCAGCTATGTATGAATTAATCCATTTCTGCTTTAAGAGCCAAGAAGTGCCTGTTCTTCTTCGTGGCCTCTGTGAATCACACCCTGGGTGATCCTCGCCTGTGCATAGCCTCATTGGAAAGTTCTAGATCTTCTGCAGTAGCAAAAAAACACATTAGAATAAGGCCCCTTATCCTCATATAAGTACCTTGGCACCAATGCTTCCCTTTCAGGTTCTTTCAACCGTCGCGTTGAGAGCCTCATAGTTTCTGCTTCTGAGAGTAAAAGAGAAAGAGTTTATTCTTGATTCCTTCCTGTTATCAATCTTTTTTCCTTTAAACTTTTAGAACAAGTTCATTCTTATCAGAGATTTTTTTCTTTTCTACTTTGCTTGGCCTCCGGCCACAGCACCCCTCCCCCAAATCATTGTTTTTTTCTCCTCAAATTATTTTCTCCTATTCATGGTCCCTTTGGGCCTGTTTAAACACTGCGTGGTCTGTAATAACAAAATACCACTCTCTGATGGCCACACCAGGTGTCTTTTTTGCTTGGAAGAGACACACCAGACGTCCTCCTGCCAGCATTGTACAAACCTCAAGTGGGGAGTCCTCTGTTCTCACTTATCTAGATTAAAACCCTGTCTGTGAGAACAATCCCTTCAACCAACCAAAATGGCCCATCCTCCTTGTAAGGCCACCAAACATACCAAAGCAGCAGAGAAGGCTCTTTCTGAAGCCTTCAAACAACGTCCATCAACCACACCATCCCACTCTAATGCTCCATCCACTTCATCTAAGACTTCAAAAATTCATAAACCGAAGCACTCAATACCAAAATCCTCGATATCGAAGCCCTCAACTAAACGTCAAGTGTCCACCAAAGCCTCTTCGGTTCCAGAACCTTCTCTGCCTAAAAGATCTAACAGTATAAATCTAAAGCTGCCGTCACATCTCAGAAGCCTCAGGTAAAGGTAAAGGTTCCCCTTGACAATTTTTGTCCAGTCGTGTCCGACTCTAGGGGGCGGCGCTCATCCCGCTCTTCAAGCCATAGAGCCAGCGTTTGTCCGAAGACAATCTTTCCGTGGTCACATGGCCAGTGTGATTTAGACACGGAACGCTGTTTACCTTCCTACCGAGATGGTACCTATTTATCTACTCGCATTTGCATGCTTTCGAACCGCTAGGTTGGCGGGAGCTGGGACAAGCAACGGGCGCTCACTCCGTCACGTGGATTCGATCTTACGACTGCTTGGTCTTCTGACCCTGCAGCACAGGCTTCTGCGGTTTAGCCCACAGCGCCACCACGCCTCAACAAACCATCAAATCAATCTCTGTTGGTTCACCTTGTGATGATGACGGAATTCCCTCTCATTAACCCTGTTCCCAATCATCGGAATGGGATGACAGAGCCAATCAGTGCTTGACCGGACAAACCGCAACCGCCAATCAGCGAGTTGCACTATCCAGCTTGGCCATACCTTCTCATGGCGGGCCTTGATCACAACAGCCATTGGTGTCGAAATGGCCATATCACTGTGACCCACATGGAGTCCAACCTGCTCCCTACCTGGCATCTAAAAGATCCAGGACAGTCGAGCAATTATCTTCTACACACAAGGCTTTTACAGCTCCAGCCTCATGATATTTTCCCACTAATCCAGACGAGGGAAATCATTCCTCTCACTCAGCATCTCAAGCGTCTATATACAGTGGCACCTCGTAAGACAAATATCTCGCAAGACAAATGGTTTTGGCTATTGGGGTGGGGTGGGTGTTTGATGACTCTCAAGACAAATGTTCCGATTGCTGTGCTTCGCAAGACAAATGTTTTCCATTTTTTGTTTCTGCATCATATTTGCTGATTTTTAAATGTTTTTCTATGATGTTTAAAAAGTTAAAGTTTTTTGACTGAAATTTTTTAAATCATCTGCACAATATGTATGGCTTTAAAGAGCACTTAATAAACCTTTTGTAAACCAAATTTGACTTTGTTCTGATTGTTATTGCCCATAGGAACGCATTAATTAGATTTCATTCCTATGGGAAAATGCGTTTCGCAAGATGAATTTTTCGCAAGACAGCATTAACTGTGGAATGAATTAAATTCATCTTGCGAGGCACCACTGTACTCCACTGCTTTACCAGCTTATCAACAACCTCCATTTCGACATCACCGAGACACTGGCTCTGATATAGATGATCCTTGATATCCACCTGGTCCATGAACACTTGTTCTGTCCCTCTATCGATGCACAGTTTCCTTCACCTGATGGAACCAAGCCATTGAACTCGACATCACTATGACCCCAAGTTCGACACCGACCTGCAACCATATCAAACGATGCCCATGGGCACTTGGATGACATCTCTCGGTATCGAAAATCCTCAGCATTGACAAATGCCCATGGACATGCCACCTCCATCAACATTGAGCCACAAACATCAATTCTATGACACTCAACCTATCAGTACCAAAGTTGATCAACAATCTGTCAACTCCCGACGTAATCCCGGTTATTCCAATCATGGATCCAGACCTCAGCACAATATTACTTACCTCACTGAATCCGACTTTATTGATGCCAGCCCACCATCACCAACGGAAGACTTCCAAACTTGTGCCTAACTTATGATCCAGATGGCTAGGTCTCTCAATCTCCAAATCCTCCAGCCTTCGACAGAACTGGCCGATCATCTATACGATCCAATCTCTAAAGATACAACTACTCCAGTACACATCTTGATGCTTCTGTCTCTACTTGCCACCGCTCGATCTTGGACAAAACCAGCCTCTTCCCATACCATATCTGTCCGAATCGATAACCTCTGCAGAGTCCATGATTCTGGAGCTCTATTTCTTCAAAAGCAACTAGCTCCAATCTCTATTTTTGTCGAAGCCTCACAATCCAGACACTCATACCACCAAATAAAGACAGTAGAAGGCTTGAGTCAATGGGAAGGTGGCTTTATTCATCAGCAGCATTCCACCGTGCATGTCGCTAACTACCAGGGAGCTGTGGGTGCGTATCAATATTTCCTTTGGGACAATATGTCAACTTTTACCAGAATATAAAAAAGTACTTGCCCATACCTTTCAACAAGAAGGTCTTTCTGTTACCAAACAACAGATGCTTTCTTCTAGGCACATGGCAGACACCACAGCAAAGTCAATAGCCACTTCAGTAGCCTTACATCATTTCTCTTGGGTAAGGACAGCTGGCCTGGCTGAGGAAGCCCACGCACGTATCAGAGACCTTCCATTCGATGGGGGCAGGCCTCGTTAATGCTGAAACCGATGATATTTTGGAAAATGTGCAAAAGAAAAAATCAGCAGCTAGACGTTGGGGAATTATCCATCATACCAAAACCGCTCCTAACAAAATCGATGGAGACGACCGACCATACAACTCATATCAAAAATTCCAACATGATCCTCCAAAACAAACATCTTATATACCCTATTTCAGAAATCAAAGAAACAAAGCCTGCCAACAACCCATTATTAGGCTTAACGATTGTAAGTCCAAACATCACATTTGACACTCCCATAACTGAGATTGCACACCAATCCACCCATCCTGCTTTCTGGAAACACCTACCTGTCTGGGAATCCATCACTACAGATGCCCGGGGACTGTCCATCATCTGCGACAGCTACCGCATCCATTTCTTCCAACTTCCTCCGGCAACACATGTCATCACTCCACCATCTCCAACCCTACAAGAGGAACTAAGAAATTTACTCCTCAAAGATGCCATACAACCTGTCTCAGAACACAACAAAGAGTTTTTTTCTCTTGCTATATCACTGTACCCTCTCCGCCATAGTTTCTTATCAGCCCCCTAACTCTCTGGCAGCTGATTTCTTCAAGCATCCCCCATTGAAACGTTTTCTTAAAGGTCTATCTCATATCTATCCAGACACCCGCCCGCCTTCCCTGCAATGGTCACTAACCCTAGTTCTGCAACAACTTACTAGAGTTCCTTTCGAGCCTTTAGCTTCAACTAATCTATGGCTACTTATCTTTAAAACAATTTTCCTCGTCGCCATCACCTCAGCTCAACGAGCTAGTGATTCAGCGGCCTTACTATCCTTATTTACAGTTTTTTCTGGGCAAAGTCAAACTATCCATAGATATTTCTTTCCTCCCCAAAGTTGTGTCTCAGTTCCTTTTCTCGCAGCTGTTTATCCTTCCTTCCTTCTTCCTGTCACCATGCATAACTCAAAATTTTTTGACTCCTCCATACTTTAGAGTTTAGACATTAGGTGACCCCTTGCCTTTTATGTCCAACGCACCCAACCTTTCAGGTGTTCACCTCGACTTTTCATCAGTCACCAACCACCTACTAAAGGTCACCAGGTGATGTCTCAAACCATATCTAGATGGGTCACTTCAACCATTCACCTCGCGTATCAGCTGGCATGCAAACCAGTCCTGAAGGTGATTCGCCTTCACCAGAGTAATGGTGACCTCTACGGCATTCCTACACAGCATACATCTTCGGGATATTTGTGCCTCTTCCACCTGGGCATAGCCGTCCACTTTCATCCGGCATTATAGACTTGATCTCCGGCAGAAGTCTGATGCAGCCTTTGGACATGCTATTCTAGCCTCTACCTTGGCATGAGACCTTATCTCTGGGTAAGACAGCTTTTTTGTCACCCAGAGTGTGATTCACAAAGGCCACGAAGAAGAACGACAGGCTACCCACCTGTAATTGTAGTTCTTTGAGTGCACCTCTGTGATTCACACATCCTGCCCGTTCTCCCCACTGTCATGCCATTGTGCTTAATGTAGTGATGGTTGACACAACTGAAAGGGGAGCCTTGGTGCCAGGGTACTTACATGAGAGGGAAGGGGCCTTATTCAAAGGAGGTTTATTTTCTACCGCAGAAGCTCTAGAACTTTCCGATCAGGCTCCACGCAGTCACAGATCACCCAGGGTGTAAATAGCAGAGGTCTGCTCAAAGAACTACAACTTGTTGTTTTTAAACATCCTTTGTCTACAATGCATTCATTTCTTTTTAACTCTGTTGCCACATTCAATGCAGGTCAAGCGCAGAAGAGTCCTGAAAATGCAGCTGAGGACATGATGAGTGCAATTGCTGACTTTGCTGGCAAAGAATCCCCCCAACATTTGAAAACTGTTAAGATTATTATATTTCAGCCACATTTGCAGAATGCCTTTTATACTTGTATGAAAAAGAGAGAAGGTGTTGCATTGCCCTCTTCAGAATCCATGATCTCTAAGTTAATATGTAAGCTCAGAATATTAGTTATCTTCTATGCCTCCAGCAACCTTTTTTTTTTCAGTGCTTTCCATTTTTAACATATTTACAAAATTTTTCTTCTTTTTGTTTAAAGCAACTGTAACTCGTAGAGTTGAAAAGAAACGTCTTTTGGTTTTGAAGAAAAAAGTTGAGATGGCAGTGTTTGAAATCTGCGGTGAAAACAGAAAAAATGTGGCAGACACTGAATCCTGGTTAAAAAAGTTGATTCTTCAAGAGCAGTCAGAAAGTCACATCACTGACGAATTGATTAGCATGTTTGATGACGCCGAAGTAGAGAAACTGAATGAGCTCCAGAAAAGACTACGTATTGCCATTCAGCTGGAGAGAGAACAATCTCCTCCTTTCATTCTGGTATCCGGCATTCCCCGTGACATTCTTACGGCTTCCACTGAAATTCAGAATTTGATTAAGAGACTGAAAGCTGACCAAGAAAAGAAATCCAAGGCAGAACTTGTTACGAATCTGGTTGAGTGGCAGTATTGTGCACATGGGGATACATACAAACCTTTTGACATTCTAACCAATCTCCATTTAGAAGATGCAAGAATTTGTAATAAGAAACCTATAAGTGTCCAGATTAATGGAAAGAGCTACAAGGTTGACGTTAAAAACATGTGTGCTGATGGTCAAGGAAGAAGTGTACCCATTAAGCGCATTGTAAAGGACGAAGGTAGGAGGGCTTTCAAATGCGAAGAACTTGGTTAATGCAGCTGGTTAGCATTAGCATAAATACCCCCTTGCATCTCAATCCACAGAGCTTTAAAATGTTTTTGATAAACATTATTTGTGTTATATTTCCTACTTACGGTGCTGCTTTGCACTTTTTCCATTGACTCAACAGCTTAATTTCATTTAATCTTCTTCCTAAAGGAATGTGTGGATTCATGTTGGAGGAATTTGCAAGAGGGGACAGTTTTATATTTAATGTTTGATGGAAGCATCAACGTGCATGCACCAGATGAAACTTTTTTAAAAAAATTAAAAAGGAATAAATGGCCCACTTGTACGGGCTGAGCAAGGCCCTGAGAGCTGGAGTCACATTTGGGGGTGCAAGACGTGCTCACTGAAGTTTGAATTTGCAGTAGTGAGTATATTTTTACAGCATGACAAGCCAGGTTGTGTGGGAAACCTCACATGTCCCAAAAAAGCAGCATGCTAGTACATGCTGCTTAGTTACTCCCCCTAGCCGTGGGAGTGGCCAAAGAAGACATGGAGCTTTACTCTTTTAGATTGTCATGTCATCTGGCAACAGAGATTGCTTCCCTTCTCAAGTTTGTTCCCTTCCAAAGAAGAATACAGTGATGCCCCGTTCAACGACAATAATCCGTTCCGTTAAAATCGCTGTTAAGCAATATTATCGTCAAGCAAAAGTAAAAAACCCATTGAAATGCATTGAAAACTATTCAGTGCATTCCAGTGGGTGAAATACCTCATCGTAAAGCGACGATCTTCCATAGGGGAAGCCATTTTCGATCGCTGTCTTCTGGAAATAGGTCTGGAAAACAGCGGGCGGCCATTTTGAAAACCTGATGATCAGCAAAAAATTGGTTCCCGAAGCAGGGAACCGATCGTCATCAAACAAAAAAAAATCCCATTGAATCGTCATTTTACGATTGCAAAAAACTAATCATAAAGCGATTTCGTTGTTTAATGGGGTTGTCGTGAAGCGGGGCACCACTAAGCTTGCTTCATCTTCTTAGTTTTTGGAAAGGGCAAAGAAGAGTAGAGATGCTGCCTGCTACCAGATGTTGTGCTAAACCAACTCCCAAGCAAAGCTCCATGACTTGTTTAACTGTGTGTTCTGCAGTAAAGAAAAATCAAGCAATGTTTATTTCTGGATTTCTGGCCTGTTGTGCTGTGAGAACAGGCCCACAAAGTGTAGAAGCTGCTGGTGTTGTTCTTCAGAACATTATTTTGTTAAAATTGGGCTTAAAGGATACTGTTGGCAGATGCTTTGTAAAAGTCCCATGTGAAAACTGGAAAAATTGCTATGTATTCCTAATGAGATGAACATCAGGGCAAGTGCAGGCAGCCAGCATTTCTGGTGGTCTGTTGCCTGATATGGTTGGAAATTTGAATTCAAAATTGATCAGATTGCACTAGCACCAACGACCATACCACTATCAGTAGTTTCTTTTATTTGTAACATTTTTGTGTGCTTACATTTCTTGCTGTTCAGACAAGCCAGTAGGATTAGAGAGTGAGTGGACTAAATCCATCTAGAATGATGTTTGGCCCTGATGCAAAGGTCATGTGATCAGTACTTGCAAATGAATGTTCTATTATTCAGCCTGTGTTTATTTACTGGGCCATAGTTAATCCACTTGTAGTTTTGTTCCAGGTCTGTCTGTGGAGCCCAGCTCAATTGTGTCCCTCTTTCTGGTCTAGGCTGTGGTGCTTCCACTGACTTTTTCTCCACACCCTTGTTGTTATAAAAGTCTGAGCCTGCAGCTGGAATGGGTGCAATAGCAGTTGTTGAAGTGGAGCAGGAGGCAGTCCATAGCCAAGATCTCCCAAGTCCCAGTGGTTTGAATGCTAGTTCTTGTGCAGAGCCCCAATTTTGAATGGTTTTACATTATTTAACACCGTATTTACTCTACAGGTACTGGCGAACTTCCTCCAAATTGGGAAGATATGAAAGGAAGCCATGTCAAAGTTGTTTTGCTACAGCCCACAACCCAGGAATATCAACATGTGGAAACAGCATTCCGGACAAGGTGCCCAACACAGAGAATAGAAAAGGTAGCGTGCAGTAGAAATGATGAACATTGTCATCGGGGGTGGTAGTGGTGGTGGTTCGTTAATTAAATTCCGTGGAATGCTAATGGGAATATCTCTTTTGAACCAGTGCATGGTGGACAGTAGGTGACTGCAAGCTGGCAATTTACAAGCATGTGAAATAAACAAAGGGAGGTTTTGTATGTGTTAAAATGCAGTGCCGTAAAGCATATGGTTGTTGTCATATATTCATTCATTCATTCATTCATAAAACACTTAAATTATTCTGTGCAGCCTACACAAATTGAGCGGTAAGACTTCTCTTATGCAAAGACCTGCAATTTAAATGGACTGCTATGAAAGTCTTAATATTCAGTCCTTATTACCTAATATATCTGTGGGAGTAAAGCAGACATGTGGAAGAAAAAGAGAAGGACAGAAAATGCTGCAATAGTTAAGAATCTCTCCTCCCTCTCTGTATTCCTTTCCAAGGGGTCTTAATTCTCCAAACAGTTGCTAAGGTATAATTTTAACTAAAACTAAAGTTTCCCCAAGTCAGCCATGGCAGTTTGAAACTTACTTCTGTCTGTGGAGCTTGCCAAACCACTACTAAACATTAACACCCTTACTGAATCTCTGTCGCCGACTTTTCCCTCTCCCTTCCATCCACTCGCCCCCTTGATATTTATCTTTATTTTGATTCCTGGAAATGCCACTTCCCCCAGAGCTTGGGAAAGTAAGTTTTTCAAGGCAAGCTTTCTGAGCCTGGTCTTCTTGCATGTGATTGGATATTAATTTATTTTCTTAGCAAGTCAAGTATTTATTTGTTTATTGTTTATTTTATTAAAAATAAGTTTATCCCACCTTTCTCCTTGTAAAGAACCCAAGGCAGCTTACATCATTAAAAAGACAATATGTAGGAGCTAAAAACAATTTGTATACAAATATTAAAAAAGAAATAAGAAGATGTTACATTAAAAAACAGTAATAAAATCGGTAAAACAACAGAGGACAACTATTCATTTAAAAGCCTCTCTCAAGCCATTCGTTATTAAGGGAAAGCCTGCCTGAACAGAAAGGTTTTTGCCTGCTTGTAGGATAGCAGTGATGGGGCCAAGCTGCTTTGGTAGGAATTGTTTCAATTTTGATTTTTGCAATACTAGGATTTCTCCAAAGAATCATACGCGAGGAGTGGGTCATTTGGGTTGCTTTGAATTTCAACCCAGCATTCCTCAAGCAGAATTCTGGGAGTCGCTGCCCACAGGCACACACCTACAGACGTGTGCACACACCTGTATGTCAGTCGCCGAGAACAGGTCCTGTTTGAGGCCTACTACCTACAGAAAAAGGAGACCGCTTCAGTGTTTCCTGGGGGATCTAGGTCTCTGTGTTAGGTGTAGACTTGCTACCCTTTAGGCTCTGTTTAGGACATCCTCACAGGACATCCTATGCCTTCCATAAAGACCTGGCCATCCCAACAGCACTGGGTCGGTTCCTTCCTCCCTCCCTCCCTCCCTCCCTCCCTCCTTGGAAAAACAGTTTGGAAAAGAGGAGCCATTCCAAGTGAATGAAATGCGGGCAGGAGCTTCCAGGAAAAAAACGGTACACCCCTACCATGCACGCTGGCCCATGTAAAGCAAGTTGGAACCCCAGCATGAAAAAAAAAGAAGTAAAAACTTGGATGGCCTCAAGCAGTTTATTAGTAAAGCTGATAAAATGAGGGAAAAGAGAAATGTGCCTTTTGAAATTCTAGCAGCAGCTTTTCTTGTCACATAGGGAAACCAGGCACGTTGTCATAGGACGTTGCATCTCATTGGACTTTCCTTGAATACATGTTTCCTCCTGAGCCACTCCTGGCTTGACACTGAGGGAATGGATTGGGCCATAGGATGCTTTCTGGAAGGCATGACCCCAAACAGCAGTGCGTCTGATGGGCTGGAATTCTTGAAATAAACTTACTGATGTTCAAAGCATAGAAAGCAAGTACTGAGGGCAGGAGACCTTTTAACCCATACAAAACTGAGCTGTGTTCCCTACTTGATGTTAGTTGAATAACAAACACATGGTTGGCAACAGCACACTTGGCATCAGGAAATAGCAGGTCAAGGAGGGTACATAATTTTTTTGTGCCCGCCAATCCTCTCCTGCAGTCCTTCACCTCACAGCGTTTCTCTTTAGTTGTTTATTTACAGTCTCAGGTCCTGATTGAGAAAAACTATGACAAAAACTTAAGGGGATAGATTGCCAGATGAGAGAAGGCCTTAAGCTTCTTGCTCTCTATTCCTGTTACTTGCTTCAGAATCCTGAATCTTCTTCGTCAAACATGGGATGTGTAGACTTTGTGTTTGTAAGTGACCTAATGTGTAGTCTTTTGCTTACTATTACAACCATATTTGCAGCATTTTCATAACCTTTCATTGGCTTGTTGTTTGAAATCAGTTTTCCTAATTAGGTGGCGAGTGCTCTAGTGCTGGAGGCACTCAAGAGAAGACTGGACAACCACCTGTCAGATCTGCTTTGATTTGGATTCCTGCATTGAGCAGGGGGTTGGTCTTGATGGCCTCAGAGGCCCCTTCCAACTCTATGATTCTATGAGCCTATGATTTCTAAGTATTGCCTTTTGTACTTATTACTTTTAGATTGAAAGGGTACAGAATCCTTACCTCTGGAGACTCTACCAAGTGAAAAAGAAAGAGCTAGATAAAAAGAATGGCCATACAAATAATGAGAAGCTCCTCTTCCATGGGACTCCTGGCTCATCATTGTCCCAAATTAACCATACTGGATTTAATCGCAGTTACGCTGGAAAGAATGGTACGTTGTGGAGAAAACTGAGTAACATATAGTAGGTGCTATAACATTTGGGTGCAGTCCAGTGGCTATTTGGCCTGCTGCTTGTCCACTGTGGGGATGAGTTGGTTCGCTGCCTTTTCCAGCACTCAGGGGACATAATGGCTAAAGCAAACCAGCCCATCCTCAGAGCATATCTACCCACACCATTCTGAACCCCTATCAGGGGGTTCTAATTTTTTGATACAATTATGATCGCTCTGGTTTGGTCCGTTTCCAGTGAGTGTGATTGCTGGAAACAGAACAAAAGCGAACCTTGCAGCTGTCAAGGCTCCTTCAGCTGTCAATTTACTATATTGTAAAGTGGCTTAAGAAGAGAGCCACAACATGATGCTAGCAAATTAAACACATCCTTTGTTTTCTCTGTGGAGGGAGGGAAGGGAACTGGTTTTTTTTTAAGACACTTATTTCAGTGGATATTTGTTTCACCAATTTAAAAAACCACACACTGAGAGGCACACCGACAACCAAATCAGGCAGGCTCTCAACTAGACCTTTAAAAGAAAAGCAATGGAAAAAAAATTTTGTCTTTTAATGGTCCAACACACACTTAATTTTTTTTCATTTCTTCAGCCCCTTCAAAGAGCTGAGTAAGTGATTAATTTGCCAGGAAGGCTGTTGGCACACCAAATAGGGTTGCTTGAGTTCTGCCATTTGATTGTGACTATTACACAAAATGGGATACTCACCCTATTTAGCCTGATACAGCTTGCTCCTTTCTGATTGTGTAGATAAGCCCTCAGTGCTTTTCAGGTTCATCATTGTCAGTTTGTGACAATGCAATATACCTTTGAATATATAAAACAATATGTGCATATTTAAAATGTCCGAACATTCATTTCTCTCTCTCTCTCTCTCTCTCTCTCTCTCTCTCAATGCTTTCAGCTGCAGCAATTGGAAATGGGACCTATTTTGCTGTACATGCAGACTATTCTGCACAAGATGTATATTCAACACCAGATACGAATGGTAGAAAATTCATGTACTTTGCTCGGGTTCTCACTGGTGATTATTGTCGTGGAAATCAGGGACTCATCACTCCACCAGCAAAAAACACGGGAGGTTTTGACCTATACGACAGTGTGGCTGACAACATGAAGAATCCAATGATGTTTGTCATATTTTCTGATGCCCAGGCCTATCCAGAATATCTTATTACTTTCAGAAAATAACTAGAATTTTGATACTTAAAGAATAGTCTTGTTCGTCACCTTCAAACACATTAAACCTGAATAAAAATAGTTAGAACAAGTGATATATTGGGCTTGCCCCTTGATTACCTTTCGGGCTAATCGATTCTGCTGTGCCTTTTAAAATGGCTAAATTAATGTTGGGTAAGTCCCCTGAGGCCAACACCATTGATTTTATAGTACAGAACCAAAGGGAAGAAGTTGAAATTTGAAAGTTTTGAGATGTGTAATTATACCATGGAGTGGAGCCTGGCTGCATGTGAAAATTGGCCCCAGACTCCTGAAGTTCATCAAGTGCTGAATTAGATCAGTGTGTGCATTGCAGTCTTATAAAGGCAATGAACAAATAAGCATGCAGACAGACTATAAAATCTGCTTTTCCCTCCACTGTGTTTCTTAGGGTATTCTTATCAGTTTGGCTTGGAAGTATATACTAAACCTAGATATTTGTTTTGGAAATACCACACTATTCCAGAAGGGAAAGAAGAAGGCTAGTGTGTGTGTTGAGGGCAGTTGTGGGGGGGGGATATCTTATTTATAGTATTCCACTTCTTTTTCAATGGCAACTATGCCTGCCCAAACCATTCTTCCCAAGCCTTTGTCCCGTGGTTTTGCTCGTGTTTACCTACATGTATAGCCATACCTAGCATTACTCCTGGAAGAATCTCAGGGAATTCTGACTTTTCACCACAGTGCCTCTGAAAATTCTCTTCATTCTTACTGTGATGTATTTGTATTTTCTCCATTTTTAGGCTTCTGCAAACCATTATTCTCATGTGTTTAGAATGTAGGAAGAGAGCATAGTCAATTTAAAAAAAGATTAACAAATAAAAGCATTTACTTGTCTTCTGTCTACTCTGCCAGCTTTTACTGTTCTGGAAATCTGTAGCTATCCTCAGTATATGTTGATTACTGAGCTTTTTAGCACCATGATTAAACTGCAGTCCTGGAGCCAAAACTCTGATGACCTGGTTTCAGTCCCAAGTAGCCAGCCCAAGGTTCACTCAACCGTCCATCTTTCTGAGGTCAGTAAATTGAGTACCCATCTCACAGGTATAGGGAGCAATGCGTAGCCTGCATAGTTAAATTGTGAACTGCCCAGAGAGTGCTTTAACCACTATGGGGTAGTATATGTGCAACATGCACAGAATTAATTAAGAATAAATCACCCTTCAATTATAGCAGGCACAGGCTATTCCGGTCAATCCAGGTGGGTAGGATTGCCAACTAACCAGGAAAACTACAGTTTGGACTGTTTCTGTGCTGCTGGCAGCAACCTGTCATTTAGAAGTAAGCAGATTTCAGAAACACTGGCATTTATCCCTTGCTAATGTCTTCAGGTCAAACCAATAGCACTTTAAAAACATGGAAATGTTGCACTTGAGACAGAGTACTTTTAATGAACATCACAACAATCTCACAGACCAAGTTGAAATTTGAGGATTTAGGGAAACCATTTTGTATGGAAGTGAGAGGGTGTGAAAAAGCAGGAGTGCTTTTCTGCTTATGAGTGCTTCCAAGAGCCCATCTGCATGTCACGTTCATCACATGAATGGCAACCCAATGCTCCTGTTGAAGGTCACTGTCAGACTCACAAGGCTGGTTAGTCACTGGTTAGTAGCTTCCGATAATCTCCTGGTAGCCTACAAAACAAATAGTACCAGCAAGTTTGATTTGTTTAGTGTGCGCATCAATAAAGAGAAGGATTTCCTTTGCTACCGCAGTTGTGTTAAAAATGGTAGAATGATTTTATAGATTATCACTTTTGTTTTATAAATTTAATTTTTAACTTTGCAGAGTGATAATTTTTTACTATTCACTCTTGCTTCATTCATAATTTCAAGCTGCTGGGATGTTTGTATTGCTTGTTTTTATACCCCTAAGCATCCTGAACAGAGCCTAGCAAGGGGTGTGATACACTAGCACTGTATTCCATTCCCCCACCCCAGCACAACAGGACTGTTGGTGGTTAAGCAGTACACCTCAGTATTACTGAGTAATGTGCCATTTATTCAGAGTAATGCTGTCTGAGCTCTGGTGCATAATGCTTCAAAGTTCAGAGAGGACCTGAAAACAAGTAAGGACAGGTGTAGGAAGTGGAACAAAGGCCAGGCCACAAAAGAAAACTACAGACAGGTAGCAAAGAATTGCAAAGAGGGCATTAAGAAGACAAAAGCTGAGAATGAGCTGAGGTTAGCAAAAGAGGCTGAAAGCAATTAAAAAGCATTATTCAGATACATATGTAACAAAAGACAGGAAAGAAACAGTGGCTCAGCTACTTTGCCAGCCTGTGAAAATGACAACAGATGATGAAGTCAAGACAGAAGTGTTGGATGGATGAAGTACCAGATGATTGGAAGAGGGCTTATATTGTCCCTGTCTTTCTTCAAAAAGGGGTATCCTGGGAATTACAGACTTCATCCTGACATCAATCCCAGGGAAAATTCTGGAGCTGATCATAAATTAGTTGCTTTGCAGGCACCTGGAAAACAATGCAGCAATAACTAGAAGCCAACACAGATTTGTCAAGAATAAATCTTACCTCATTTTTTGATTGGGTAACCTCCCTGGTAGATGATGGGAATGCTCAACTTCACCAAAGCTTTTGACAAAGTGCCCTGTGATACCCTGATTAGCAAAACAATTAGGTGTGAGCTGGATAGAGTAACTGTTGGGTTGGATACATGGTTACAGAATCGTACTCATATATATAAATACAAATAAACCAAAGGCACAGTTGCCAGATTGGGCTTCTTGGCTCAGTAATACTACACACGAGAAGGATCTTGCAGCTGTTGTAGATCACAGGCTGAATATGAGCCAAGAGTACAGTGCACCTGCAAATATATATATTTGGCTACCTAATCTCCCAATTCAGTAAAGTACTAGTTCCCCTCTATTTGGCATTGATTAGACCTCATCTTGTGTACTGTGAAACAAATGCCGACTGATAACAGCAGCAATGGGACCAATTGCCTTGGGAGGTGGTGAGTTCTCCAGCACTGGACAATTCAAGAGAAAGTTGGCCATCTGTCAGACTGTTTTGGCTTCCTGTATTGAGTAGGGGGTTAGACTCAATGGCCTTACAGACTCCTTCTAACTCCATTATTCGGTGATTTTAGGATTTCCACATTTGTATGATTTAAAACTTCAATAAAAATGCACTTATTGAATGTTGGATTTAGAAAACTTAACCTTTACTCCCTACCTTACAGAAACAGCTCAGACATATGCACCTCCTCCCATATAGCAACCTTCTGTGCAAAGAGCAAAAGTTCAATAAGTGCTTAAAGGTTGCACTTTAACTTCTGAGCGCACCACCTCTTGCTTTTTAAATATGGGCGTATACATCACGTAGACCAGGGCCAACACTATCAGCAGCAGATAAAAGATATTGTATAAGGAAAAAGCAGGAAATAGTTATTTTATATTTTAATTGCATTTTATTACTAGAGATGGAAAGAGGTGTGTGGGGGATTTCCTGGGGTTCATGCCAAAACAATGTGGCACTTTGTACTTTGACTTGAGTTAGGTAGGAAGGTGTCAGTAGATGCCCTGTCTCAGGCTGCAAAACCTCTTGTGGCAGCTGTTAGGGTCATTTGTGGATGTCACTTAAAGCAGGTACTGTTTCATTGGCTGGTGGGAGGAACCAGGAAGTTGTTGGATTTTAGTTCTGTCAGGCTTTGTTATTTAGTCACAGGGAGGAATTATGTGACTTGAAATTAATTTTGCTTCTGGGCGGGAACATATTCCCTAACCCTCTTTTAATACAAAGATGATGTGTGCAGGCTCAAGAGCAAATTCAACCATGATTTTTGAGCTGGGAGCTATTTGGATAGTGGGGGATAATAAGGAGTATAAATAAACAAAGAAACTAGAAACTACAACTCAGACCCAAAAGAAGGTGTGGATGTTTGGTTTAAGAGTTAATGCCAACGGGTGAACAAAAGCATACAGTCTTTCCACTGTATATTGCATCTCTGTCTTTCCTTCTCTCCAGAACAAGTGTGGAAGAACTGCACCAATTCTTAAAGCACTTTAAAAAAAAAGCTAGCTCATCCCAAACAGGCAAGTTCAGGCAATTAGATCAAGTGTCCCCTATGTTTTTCTAACTTGGTTTTGAAGACTGCTGAGGTAGAAGAGCTTTCCTTGATAGTCAAAATCCTGTAGCGCAGCTCCACCTGGACAAAAGAAATGAAATCATTATTAGCAGATTGTTGCTGATTGAAAACTTCCTTTTTCAATTTCAGAACAGACATGGTTCACATTCAATGAGACAAAGCTGCATGCATCCCAAAATTGAAAGAGTTTTCAATCAGCAGCACTCTGGCAAAGATAGTATCAGTCCCTGTTGCCCAGACAGAACCTTTCCAACTGTATTTCAGCCACTGCAACAACCCCACACATATCATAGAATGGTCGTAGTGTTGGAAGGGACCTTGGAAGTCTTCTAGTCCAAGGACGGAGAACTCATACCATCCCAGAAGATGGCTGCCCAGTCTTTTCTTGAAAACCCCCAGCGATGAGGCACCCACAGCATCAGGGGGCAAGCTGTTCCACTGCTTCATGGTTCTCACTGTCAGGAAATTCCTCCTTATTTCCAGGTTGGATCTCCCTCTGATGAGTTTCCACCCATTGGTTCTTGTCCTACCCTCGGGTGCAATGGAAAAGAAATCAATGCCCTCTTCCCTGTGGCAACGCTTCAGATACTGGAAGACCGCTATCATGTCTCCCCTCAGTCGTCTCTTCATTATGTTGAACATACCTAGTTCTTTTAGTTGTTCTTCATAGGATTTAGCCTCCAGTCCCCTTATCATCTTTGTTGCTCTTCTCTGCACCCCTTCCAGGGCCTCAGTACCTTTTTTTGGTATTGTGATGACGAGAACTGGACACAGCACTCCAAGTGCGGCCTCACCAATGCAGTATAGAGTGCTACTAACACTTCGCGTGATCTTGATGCTAAAGGCAAAAGCAAAGCGTGCTGCTTATATACTGCCCCATAGCACTTCAAGCCCTCTCTGGGGGGTTTACAAGTTAATTGTGCAGGCTACACATTGCCCCCCCCCCAGCGAGCTGGGTACTTATTTTACTGACCTCGGAAGAAGGCTGAGTCAACCTTGATTGAACCCCAGGTCGTGAGCAGTTTTCGCTGCAGTACAGCAGTTTAACCACTGCACCACGAGTTAATGCAGCCTAGGACTGTGTTGGCTTTTTTGGCAGCTGCAGCACACTGCTGACTCATCCTTAGGCAGTGGTCCACAAGGACACCTAAATCCCTCTCACAGGTACTACTGTTGAGACAGGTACCACCTATCCTGTACCTGTGCATCTGGTTTCTCCTGCCTAAGTGCAGGACCTTACTTTTCCTGTCAGTGAACTGCATCTTATTGGATAGGGCCCAATGTTCAAGTCTATCTAGATCCTTCTGAATGTTGAGTCTATCTTCCAAAGTATTAGCAATTCCCCCCAGCTCTGTGTCATCAGCAAATTTGATGAGTGCTCCTTCAATCCCCTTATCCAGGTCATTTATGAAGATGTTGAAGCACACTGGGCCCAAGACAGAACCCTGAGGGACCCCACTGCACACTTCCCTCCACGTAGATGTGGTTCCATTGAGGACCACATGTTGAGCATGGTTGGTCAGCCAGCTGTAAATCCATCTGGTAGTTGCGCTGTCTATCCCACTTTGTTCTATCTTACACAGAAGTAGGTGTGGTCTATTTTATCAAATGCCTTACTAAAGTCTAAGAATACTATATCCCCCACTGCATATCCTTGGTCCACTAATTTAGTCACTTTATCAAAGAAGGCAGTAAGATTTGTTTGGCATGACCTGTTCTTAACAAACCCATGCTGGCTGCTAGTAATCACCTTGTTATTTTCTAGGTGCTCACAAATCTGCTTAGTTATTTTTTCCAGGATTTTCCCAGGTGTTGATGTCAAGCTGATTGGTCTGTAGTTTCCTGGATTAATTTTTTTACACTTTTTGAAGACTGGAATCACATGAGCTTTTTTCCAGTCCTCTGGCAATTTATCTGTGCTCCAGGACCTCTCAAATATTTAGTTCGATGGTTCTGAAATCACATCTGCCAGTTCTTCATGGCCTCTGTGAATCACATCCTGGGTGATTTGTGCCTGCGCGGAGCCTCATCAGAAAGTTCTAGAGCTTCTGCGGTAACAAAAAACACATTAGAATAAGGCCCCCTCCCACCTCGTAGAAGTACCTTGGCGCCACAAGGCCCAAGGCCACACAGGCTGGCTCTTCTCCCAAGAGGCACGGTGAAGAATCAACCTCCCAAGCTGTAGCTCCGCAGCCAGATACCTGAACCACTGAGCTACCCAGCTATGGTTGTTGTGGGTTTTTCGGGCTCTTTGGCCATGTACTTAAGGTTGTTCTTCCTAACGTTTCACCATTCTCTGGTGTAGTTGGCTTGGGAGTGCAGTATTTATGGCTGTGAGATAGGCTTTTGTCTTTTTCGGTAGATGGGTGATTAGTGTGTATTGTTGTGGGTGTATTGTTGTGCTAAAGAGAAGAGTATCTGTCACTGTGGTTGATGGGTGTTGTTAGCTGGTCTTTTGTGTGTAGTGATCCCCGATCTTTGTGGCTGGGTGGAGCTCGTTGACCTTTTGCACTCTGTATTTTTGAGAGCTGGGAGCCAAGTTTTGTTGAGCTTCA